TTTTAAAATTGCTAATTTTATTTAAATAAGGCAGTAAGAAGTTGCTAGTTAAAGTTTAAAACTTATGTCTGACTAAAAATTACTTTTACTACTTTTTTGAGTAATACCTTGAGATTCAGTCTGACTTTAGAGGCTTTAAATTACTGCCACAGAAGAGATTTTTGGAAAATAATTTTTTAGACCAAAATAACGCATGATTGAAAATATTTTGTACGAAATTAAAAATAATTCCATATCCGAAAATGCATTTTGCGATTAAATTTATATTTCAAAAAATCACTTTTGTTTCGTAAACAATTCAGAGAAAAAACATATTTTAATTCAAAGCTTTTTCAAATATAATAACCATCACTTTATTGTCAGGAAGTTGAGAAATTAATTTTACTTCACCGTAATTTAATTTTTTAATACAACTTTTTATATCAATTTTCTTTTTCATTTAACTAAAAATTTAATAACATATTCAACATGCCCTTTCAACCGTTCTAAAATGCAAATTACATTCATTCAATTATTATTCGATAGCACGTTGTGGATGTATTTAATAGCTTCTATTCTTGCCACAATAAAACATATATTTCAACATAAACTACAAATTCTAATTCTCTAAACGCAACTGCAATATTTCATAGTTAGAGCGAGTATTTAATTTATGTGAAATTAATCTTCCAGTATTGATGAGTGTGTGTTATTGTAAATAATATTCACAACAAACAATATGTTATTAATGCTAAAATTTATCATGTTACCTGTACGTTGATTAATGCGTCTAAACATTTGAAGCCAAAATGTTAAACTAGTTTCAGTTCATGGCTAAAGTTCTTTTTCAAAACTTTCATAAAAAGTGTTATTTGAAAATATTTTGAAACTAAAAATATAAAAATATTTGCAAAAATGCCAAAAGTCGTGATTGTAAACAATTACCTTTTGGTAATAATATAATTTTTATTATTTTTGGAAAAAAAATATTAAAATATTTATAAAAATATGTCTATAAAAATATCAAAATATCTATAAAACTATTACCTATAAAAATATGGGAAAATCTAATTTAACCTAAAAACGTTTATTTCGATATAAAATGAGAACATAAAAATAATATTTAAAAAAAGTTTTACGAATATTGACAAGAAACTAATTTGTTTTCGCATAAAATTCAGTGTCGATCTGTGTATATAAACCAAATGAAAATTTAATCATGTCTGATTTCCCAATAGTACCTTTATTTCCGGTACATATTTTCGTTTCAAGTCTCGTACAAAAAATTCAAATATTTCTCCCTTCAAATTTAAATCTAAAAAAATGTTTTACAAACCTTATCTTAAAAATATTTTTTTTACAACTACAAACTTCAACCCAATTTGAATTTACGTTTTAGTTTATATTTTATTCATGTCTATTTTTTTATTTAAATCTATAGATTTATATTTTATTCTACTTTTACTAATTTATTTATAAATCACAGTCTACAATCACCTTCTTATTGCAATTATATAAATATTACAATATTAAAATACTCTTTTTTTATTTATAAACTTTGTCTAATTATTTTTTTTAATTAACAAACTTAAACAAGAAATATTGTGAAATAATCAATACTTTGCAAATAGTAGATGATAATTATTTAGAAATAAACACGAATACATAATTCAAAACTAATTATATGGCAAGAGACATAACAGAGAGTAGTGAGTAATTAGTTTATTACAACTCGGAATTCTCTATGAGTTGCACAAAGGGTGCTTTTACAGTCAGATAACATATTTCGTAAACTATACTTTTACTGTCCATAGTTGATAATTGTCTCTTCTGGGATATGACGTTTATACCGTTTTAAATTTAGTTCTGTTTCATCTATTTTAGAGACAACAATGAAAATTGTTCATTTCAATCTAAATATCTTTATAGAAACAATAGAAAAAACAAAAAAAACATTTAATACAAAAAAGAAAGAAATACGTAAAATATAAACCAGGAAGTAAAAACAAACAACCTTTTTATAGGCGACAATCACTTTTACATAATTTAAAAATTTTTTATATTATATTATATATTTATTATAATTTAATTATAATTATATTAAATTTGATGGAAGGGCATTGTTAAGAAATAGTAGTGGTTGACGTCTATACAAGGGAGCTGAGCGCGACTGCTAGTTTCAGCCGGCTTAAAAATAATGATAAGAAAAAAAAAGTATGAAACAACAAAATAATATAAATACAAAGAAACTATTTAAAAATTTTTTTAATTAAATTGAATGCAAACATTTAATTATTTTCATAAATAATAAAAATTTTACAGAAATTCAATTATTTTTATAAATAATAAATTTTTTGCAACACTAACCTGTAAAATTGAATTTTACACACAGAAAACTGTGTGTAAAGTACTTCTTTTTATAGCGGTGTGTAAAGTGTTACTTTACACACCGCTAGCAGTGTGTAAAGTGATTTTCAGTGCGTAAAAAGGTTACTTTACGCATTCTTGTGACTGTTTGATGAGAAACAATGAAATAATGCTTTTAATTAACAATTTACAATCACATTTTTTTATTTTAGCTTCTAGAAAAATTCATTTAACAGTTCCCCACTACACCTAAAGTTACAGTAATATTGGCAATATTGCTGCAAGTTTAGTTGTTGTAGTGTTGCAAAAAATTTCGTATGGCACTCGTGCGTAAATCAGATTATACTTGTGTGACTTGCAGCACTCGCCTTCGGCTCGAGCTGCAAACGTCACACTCGTATAATCAACGATTTTACGCACTTGTATCATAAATAACTATTTTTAAGGAATTAAATTATTTTCATAAAAAATAATTTAAATTCTAGAAAATAATAATTGAATTAATATTATTAATATTTTTCTTCTTTATCAAAAATAAATTAATAATTTTGTTAAAAAAAATTGTGATTCATAAACAAAAATAATGCAAAATAAATAAGTTTTCTACTTCCTAATCACAATTGTTTAACAATTTTCTAATTTTTCTTAGAAGTAAAGAACAAAAATCTGCATAATTTCAATTTGACAAGACATAACATTTAACAAAATTTTAGTCTTTTAATGAAAAGAAGTGAAAAAAAGTCTGATGATTTCTTATTGTCCTTACAAATTTGAATTAATCTCTCTATATTATAAAAAGATTTCGCCGCCGGATTCAGTGCCCTGAAGTTGGCCACAAATGGTCAAAGGTCATCGCTCTAAAGTTGGCCTCAGGTCACAGACGTAGGTCAAGAGGTAAACATAACCTCAAAATCAGGTCAAGGTTTATCGCTCTGAAGTTGGCCTCAGGTCATAGACGTAGGTCAAGGAGTAAACATAACCTCAAAATTAGGTCAAGGGTCATCGCTCTGAAGGTCAAGAGGTCAAGAGGTAAACATAACCTCAAAATCAGGTCAAGGGACATCGCACTGAAGTTGGCCTCAAATAGCTATAGTATATTTAACATAATTTCAGATCACATACGTAGGTCAAGAGGTGAACATAACCTCAAAATCAGGTCAAAAGTTATTGCGGTCACATACGTAGGTCACGAGGTAAACATAACCTCAAAATCAGGTCAAAAGTTATTGCGGCCACAGACATAGGTGGAGAGGCGAACATAACCTTAAACTTAGGTCAAAAGAGGGCCTATGAAATCGACAAATTTCCTTATATCTTCTGGAGTTAGATCAAAATTTAGATCAAAATTGACCTATTTATTAACTTACACATAAAAAAAGCCCTTATTAAGGCCTTCCAAGGGATCAAAATTTAGATAAAATTAAACCTTTTTTTAACTTAAAGGGGGACATTAAGGAGTCGTTATCGTACGTCACAATTAATGTCAACAGTGTCAAAAATTAAATTACATTTCTACGTACCTTCCATATTATTTAAAATCGACTTCATATTATTACAAATTAAAATAAATTCAAATAAATTTTATTTTCAATTTACAAACATTTACAAAAATAATATTAATTTTTGTAATATTATTAATTAAATTAATTTTCCTGCTTTATTGTTTATTAAACAATAAAGTTTATTATTTCAACGTTTTTTTCGAAGATATATTACAGGGAAGAAACGAATTTTTTAACTCAAAATCTAAATAAAAAGAAATTAGTCATGTCTTATATTTCGGACCTAATTTTAAATACTAGAATCTGAATCTATAATTTTGAGATACAAAATTGGTTATTTCCCCGTAGTGTATCTTGAAAACAAATTGAATAATACAAATAATTTCAACAAACACTAATTTTACTGAATCTGGCTAAAAACCAATATTGATAATAAATATTATTAATTAATTCTTAATTTAAAAATTAATTTTAAAATAAAAATAGGGGGTTGGCGCGCGAAGCGCGCAGGGGGGCGGAGCCCCCCTAGTTATAAAATAAAAATAATTATAACATAATAATAAAATGTACAATCTATCTAAAGTTAACAAAAAACAAAAGTATAAGTATAAGTATAAGTCTGACTATAATTTTCTTTTACTACTTTTCTAAATAAATCCCATAAGTTTGGTCTGACTAGAAAGGAATTAGACTACTAATAAGAACAGTGTAAAAAATAAATAAATTAAAATTTTTTAAATGTTTAAACATTTTGTCCGATTGTAAATAACTTTCACTTCTCATTATTTTTAATAATATATCTAGAAGTTCGGTCTGACGAAAAAGGCATGAAACTACTAATATCAAATGTAAAACATTGTAATATAAAGAAAAATAAAATTTATCTTTATTTACTCTCCCTGCTCACGCAGGGTTCGAGACTCCCTAATACACATCCTCTACTTAAAACTAAAATACATTTTCACTTACAACTAAACTTAATACGCTCTACTTATATCTACTAATCGCAATCCGCCAGTGCACCGGGTTTCCGTTTCCCGTTCCAATTTGCCCTTTTTGGCTTCGTCAAAATTTAAAAACTTTACAAACTACCTTTTATATTTAAGCATTACTGCCTTACCCCAATACAAAAAACCCCTCCCTTTATCGGCCCTAATACATTCTCTCTTCTCTCATTCTTTCTAATCTTTCTATCCATTTTTCCCCTTTCCCATTCTCATCCAAAATCCACTTAATTTTATCCCCTATCCCTCCCTCCACCCCTCCCACTTCAATTTCCCCCATACATTCCTCCAAAACATGCTTCCAATCTTCTACCTGAAACCCACACATCCTACACATTTTCTCTTCATCATCCATCCAATACCTACACTCTTTCACTCCTTCACCCATTCTAAACCTACACAATCTATTCCAACTTTCATACTTTTTCATTTTTCCTAAATACCCCGGCTCCTTCTCTCCCCTCACCATCCTATACCATCTATTATATTTTGACTCCACTATCCTGCTCCACCTCTCATTCTCATCCTTTTTCTTCCAACCCTCCATCACCTCCCTCTCATTTCCGCCCCATCTCCTTCCCTCCTCCAACGCATCTCCTCTTTCTCTCTCCCATCTTGGAATATCTTTCCTTCTCATTGCTTTCCCTTTCTTAACCATCCTCAAACACTCTCTCGCGATGTCACTCCCTCTTCCCAGCTCCAACTTCTCCTCCAATCCCATTGCCCTCTTCCTTTGCCTCAATACAACCTTTTCCCTTCCCAATTCCTCCCTTAACATGTATCCCGGACAATTCCTATCTACCCCCATAGTCCATCTTAAAAACCTTTCATGCAAACTTTCAACCTTTCCAATCTCACCCCACCCCCATACTTCCACTCCATAACTAATCACCGCCCATACCAAAGCATCAAACAACCATACACGCTTCTTCCAATCATTCTTAAATCTCCTCTCCCCAATTCCCCATACCTGTCCCATCACCCTTCCCCCTTTTTCTATTCTTCTTTCAATATTTAACTCTTGCTCCCCGTTCCAATTAAACCAATAACCCAGATAACAAAACTCATTCACTTCTTCCACTCTTCTTCCATTTAGCTTCCATTCCACCTCCTCCACCTCCCCTATCCTTCTAAATCTCACCACTTTTGTCTTCTCCACATTCACACATAAATCTTTCTTTCTGACGTATCCTTCAAATTCTTTCATCAACAGTTTCATCCCTCTTTCATTCTCAGCCATCAACACTACATCATCCGCATACGCTAGTACATACACACGTCTTTTTCCCAGAATCACTCCCCCTTTACCTTTTCTTTCCATTTTCTCCTCTAAGTCAGCCATTAACAAATTAAACAAGATTGGACTAAGGGGGCAGCCCTGCCTTAACCCCCTACCCAACCAAAACTCCTCCCCCAACTCTTCCCCAATTTTAACCTTTTCCCTGGTGTCCTCATAAAATTCCTTAATTCTCTCTATAAACCCCTGCCCTATACCAAAATCTCTCAAAGTCTTCCACAAAATCCCCCTGTTAACCGATGGGAAGGCCGCCTTAAAATCAACAAACACCGCCACTAATTTACCTTTCTCCTTTTTAATGCTTCTGTTTACCAAAAAATTTAATGCGTATATATTATCTACCGTCCCCATCCCTTCCCTAAATCCTGTCTGATTATGCGGAATTAACCCCATTCTTTCCACCACTTCTTCCAACCTTTTCCTAACCACCTCCGCATACACCTTATACCCGACAGGCATCAGAGTTACCCCCCTATAATCTTCCACCTTCCCTCCCTCCCCCTTTTTTACAATTGGAACTATTAAGCCCGTTTTCCACTCTTCTGGCCACCCTTCCCCCTCCCACACCAAATTCGCAATTTTCCACATTTCATCCCTCACCACCTCCCCCCCAAGAAAAATAAAATTAAAGTTCAATTCAGAATTAAAAAAATTTGTAACATTTTGTCTGACTATAATTTTCTTTTAATACTTTTCTAAATAATACTAAGAAGTTCGGTCTGACTAAAAAGGAATTAAACTACTAATAAAAACAATGTCATAAATAAATTAAAGAGTGTCATTATTAAATTTATAATTAAATAATTTTGACACCTTTCATCTGACTTTAATTTATTTTAACTACTTTTTTTTTTAATAATTCCTAAAATTTTTGTCTGACTAAAATTTCTTCTTACTACTAGATATAAAAATCAACTTCGAAGTTTAAAAACTTTTAGAAAAATTTTATAATTTCACATATTTAAAGAAAAAATAAAATAAATAAATTTTACAAATCAAAACTTGTTAGAAATTTTTTGTTTAGAAATCAGAACTTATTAGAAAAACATTTTTTAGAAAAGTGATTTTATGAGAAATCGCTTTTTTTAGAAAGGAAGGATTAGAAAATACTTTTTATAAAAAGTTACGAACTACCGATAAAATATGTCTCTGATTTTTACCTGTCAACTAAAAATAAAATCAGAAATTTCCAATATCAATATCCTTGAAATATTTTACAAACAATAATTTTCGCGTCTTGACTAAAACTTTCCCATCACAATTTAAAATCAAAAATCGATATCATCATTAATATCCTATTGACATGAAATACAGTAAATGTAATTTCTCTCTAAAATATGAAAATAATCTCATTCTCCAATTTTGTGACAATTCAAAGTAAATGTTCACTTAACAAAATTAAAATAAAATAGAACGTAATCTTTGTGCGCGCGAAATAGTGCATTGAGACAATAAAATTAATAGAGTCATATATTCTTTCGTTCAACGAGGGATTTTTCACATTTTATCCTGTGAAATCCACTAGCAAGTTTCACAATGTACGGGGAGAAACAAATACGAAAAGTGGTTCTTCTTAAAGACGAGATAAAAGTTCCGGATAAGTCAGAGAAGGCAGTAAAAGTTGACAATAACAAACGTCAGTCCTGTAAATGCACCTAAAGGTGTATACGAGTCTTCTTTGGATATATTGTACGTGTATATATATAGAACGAAACATTTAGAAACCGCTCAGGAGAATATTTATCGACATATAAAAGTATGGCAATCCTCCAATAAATAACAGCAATTGAGTTTTATCCAATTCAAATATATTTTCACCCTGTCTCATTGAATTCGCAACGAATGTGAATCAATTCTTAATAGAAAGTGTATAAAATGCAAATCGCACCACTCCATTTAAAATGCGACAATTCGCAAATTTTATGTTTTTTTATTTTTTGAAAAAATAGTGGCGAATTTCAACTACTACGCTTTTAAGTTCGAATTAACATAGAATTATGGTCGAATTATTTTTCAATAAATTTCATACGTATTTTGAATTGTATTTTAATTTTCAAATTAATTTCGAGTTAATTTTGAATTATTTTTAAATGTATTTTCAATTATTTTTGAATTATTATTAAATTAATTTCGAATTATTTTTTAATTTGCAAACTTCGAATTATTTTTTTATTTCGATTTTTTACAAATTAATTTCGAATTATTTTTTAATTCTTTACAATTAATTTCGAATTTCTTACGAATTTTTTACAAATTTATTACGAGTTATTTTTTAATTATTTTGAAATTAATTTCGAATTTCTTCAGAATTTTTTACGAATTAATTTCGAGTTATTTTCGAATTTTTTAAATGTATTTTATTAATTTATTTCAGTTTTATTTATTTATTTTGAATTATTTTCGAATTAATTTCAAGTTAATTTAGAATTATTTTCCAATTATATTTCCAATTTATTTCGAAAAAAAGAATTTACACCACAAACGAAATTGAAAGCAACAAAACAAACGTAATTTTTTTTATATTTTTATATAAAAGGAAAATTGTAACAAACGAAAAAATTGAAAATCGGAAATTGAGGTAACAATATCAGATAATTTCAAAAATAAAAACAGGTGCAATTTCGTTTGTAGCGTATATTCAATTTTAAGAAATAAAAATAAATATTTAAATTAAATTTAAATAAAAAAATTATTATTAACCTGGAAAAATCCTGCGAAGCAATAGTTCTATCGCCTTTTACGTGTTTGATTATAAGAACACATCCTCTTGCCTGTCGATCACACTCTAAAAAATTTTTTAAAAAAATATTTCGAATTTAAAAAGATATGGAAAAAATAAAATTTTACGGAAATAATTATCAATTAGAGAATTATAAAATTCTAAAAATCTTTCTAGTAAAATAATATTCAGAGTAAATTAAATAGAATTATTAAATTATAACAAGTTTTATTCTTTCAATATTAAGAATTAATTATTATTAATTATTAATTATTAATTATTATTAATTATTATTAATTATTATTAATTATTATTATTACTAAAAAAAATTTCGGAATCCTCTTTTATTGATCACTTTTAAACGACTAAGAGTTATTCAAAACTTATTTGAGGATTATATTATTATTTATTTGACCCTCAGCGCGCCCTTCAAAATACAATGGCGTAGATATTAAATTTTAGAAATAATAATGTAAATTAATTTTTGATAAAGAAAAAAAATTATTCAAAACTCACCGTTAACAATAAAAATTTGTGCTCGATTTCGAAGAAAATTTTTCAAAATAAAACTCACACAGACAAATATTAAATCACAAAAGTAGACATTTCAAACACTCGTGAAAAAAGAAAAAAAAAACCTTAAAAACTGAAAAAAAATAAAAAAAAATAAAATTATAACAAAAAAAATATAAATAAACTAAAATGCTGATAAAATATATATAAGTATAAAATATAAATAAAATAAGATTTAATGCAATAAACAATAAAATAAAACACAACTATAGATAAAAAAGAAAAAAACTATAAATATGAATGAAATATAAATGCAAGTCAAATAGAACATAAATAAAATATATAAAAATAAAATATAAAACTCATGAAAACAATCGATCAAGCCCGAAACCACGTGACTGATAGAATCGAAAAAGAAATAAATAAAATATTAAAAAAAACATGAAACACATCAATAAAATCGCGATTCAACATAAATTCATTAACCTCAAAAATAAAAATATTTTTTTAAAACTAAAATGAGAAAAATATTTTAAAAAAACGGAAAAAATATCCATAATTTTTAGAATAAATACAACTCAAAGCAAATACATTTTGAAATCAGCAAAAATTTAAATATATATCAAATTTTAGCAAATTTGTGAACACGTGGCACAACCGAAAATATATTCCCGAAGAGAGAATTTAATTTACCTGTTAATAGAATGATTTGCAAATTGAAACTGAGATTAAAATGTATTATTTTCTACTTTAAGTCAATTTAAATTCTCATTCATTTATGACTTGCTAAACAAACCTGATCCCTTGTTTACAACCGAAGGTTAACAAAGTTCGAAGACAATAAACGACAAGAGAATGTGGGGATAATATTTCTTTTGTTACACTTCCTGGAAAAGTTATATAGTCGCCACCTAATACTACGCATTTTCTATTTAAATAAATTTTTCTATTTAAATTTAAATTTTAAATATTTCTAAAAAAAATTCGAAATTTAAATAGGAAAATTTAATTATCTTCTCATTTGAACAACGTACAGCTTATAAAAAAAATTAATTGTAATTTAATGGAAATGTATAATTGAAAAAATTAAGGGGATGCAAAACGTCTACAATTTTTTTTAGATGTTCCTGAGTAAGAAAACAATTATAAACAATATTTATTAATGTAAATTTTTCAAAAATGGATAATTTAAAAAAATTTGTGGGGTAAAAAATGCTCACAGTTTTTTTGGTAACTCAGTAGATGTGCCGGAGTAAAAATGTAAACAATAATTATTGTTATTTCTAATGTACAGCAGTTGGTATTATTACTTAATAAAAAAAATCTAAATTTTTATAATATTAAATTATCAAAAAAAATGTTAAAATTTTTTATTATTAAATTATAAAAATAAAAACACATTACGTTGAAATAATTTTTTTGAAATGTATGTATATTTAACATATTTTCAAAGACTTTAATTATATATGGTCCTTTTATTTTACACTCGTGCTCCTTTTAGCCAAACTAACACTTAAAAAGTTGCACGACTTATAATAAAACCCAGTTTCGCGGAACTTAAATACTAAATTTTTTCATTTTTGAGTACCTCACGGATCATAATTTTCATCTGAAAGGGGGCTGGACTCGTCGTTTTTAAATTATTATCAGATCAGTGAACAAGTAGGTAAAGTATGCAAGAAAACCAACTTTCCACTTAGGCGGACTTAAACTTTTGCATAAATATTACAAAATATATTTTTTCTAGCGAATATCGACAGATATAGATATATGTTTTATTAAAACAATAATAATAACAATATTAATAATTATTATTATTATTATTTTCTAATTTTCTTAACCAAGTTCTCGTTTACCAAATTTCTTTCGATTTTTTTTTTATTAATTTCACAGGCCGACAAAATTTTATTAATTGCATGTTGACTAAAATGTTATAGCCGATTCTTATATGATTTTGTCCGTAGAATCCGAATTTGACCTTGAAAATATTGGATTGGCTCTAGTTTTCAATCAACTTACGTTTCAATACGCCAAATACGCATTTTTTTTTGCATTTTTTGAATGGATGTAAAACCATACACTAAAACAGTAAATTTTTCCGCGTAGGACCAAATTAAAGCTTAAATACTGCTCTTTAATATCCAAAAACAAAAATTTAATTTATATACAAATTTAACCTTTAATGTCTAATTAGACATACGCTGTTCCATAAACGTAATAAAAATTACATTACTTTTGACCAGGTAAGTCAATTTAAGTAAAAATTAGTCTCCCTGGGGCTTTTTGTGGTCGCTGTTTATAAATCTGCTATGAAATATAAAAATTAAAAATGGCGGACCAATTTTAAAAAATAGTTTACACCTTTATGATAAAAATGTAAAATTAAAAAAGAAATTCGCCATATTGAATCCGCCATTTTGAATATTAAAATCTGAATACAGATTTGTAAGCAGCGACCACAAAAACCCCCAGAGAGACTAATTTTTACTTAAATTGACTTACCTGGTCAAAAGTAATGTAATTTTTATTACGTTTATGGAACAGCGTATGTCTAATTGGACATTTAAGGTTAAATTTGTAAATAAATTAAATTTTTTGTTTTTGTATATTAAAGAGCAGTATTTAAGCTTCAATTTGGTCTTATGCGGAAACATTTACTGTTTCGTTGTATGGTTTTACATCCATTCAAAAAATGCCAAAAATGCGTATTTTGCTTATTAAAACGTAAATTGCTTGAAAACTAGAGCCAATCCAATATTTTCAAGGTCAAATTCGGATTCCACGGACAAAATCCTATAAGAATCGGCTTTCATTGGTTGAGCCACAAAATTTTGTTGGCCTGTGTTTTGATTAAAATATAAAATAAAATAAAAATAAAAATACTATTTTTGAAAAATAAGAAAAACTATTTTCTCTTTCTTGAAGAAAAAGTAATTAATTTTTTTAGCTTTAATTTTCTTTTACTATATATATATATATATATATATATATATATATATATATATATATATATATATATAATATAGAAATATTTTTTGTTTACGAATCTTTTGTTTGTACATTTCTTTTTATTTAACAAGAGGACGTCTTCTTTTATGCAACGATGCGCTCTGCCACTGTTATTAAAATGTATCCAAACAAAAGAATGTGAGACATTCACTGTGAACCGAAATGGTAAATGTTTTCCTCCGGGAAAAAAAAGAATTTGAAGATTCCTTAATATATAACACTGAGTGACTTATAGAACCGAGAGACATTCACGAACTTACAAAAGAGATTGGGATATTGCAAAAGATATTCTGAAAATGTTTTTTCCAACAACATTAATATTATGTGGTTGAGCCAAAAAAGAAATTCAAGAAATATTTTATTAAATTTCGTCATCTATTTATTAAATATATTATTATTATATTTCTCAATTTCTTTTGAATTAATTTTTCTATAATTTTATATTATTACTTATTCTTTTTTTCAGATTAAAGAAAAAAAATTTACTATTTTTTTGTGTCAAAAGTATATTGGATTATATTTCTTTAAATATTCTTTTTATTTTTCGAAACCAAAAAATTATTAAGGATGTATTTTATTTTTCGCTTTATATTTACCTTCTAAATTTTTTATTATACTTTTTTTTATTTATAAAAAGCAAAATTATTTTATTATATTTTTATTTATACCAAAAAGCAAAAATGAAATTGAGAAAGTATTTAATTAAATTTCGCCATATGTTTATTTACCTTATTTATTTCAATTTCTTTAAAAATAAATTCTATCATCAATTTTAAGTACATAAAATATTATATTAAATATTTAAATAAATATTTTATTATTAAAAACAATTTTTTCCCCTCTCCCAAAAAAGAATGAAATTTGTTATTTAAAAAACTATTTATTGTTGTACTAAATAGTACAGTGATACTAAAACGTAGGGGAGAGTGGTCCTAAGTTGTCCGCCTAAGCAAATTGGTCGAAACTAGTAACAAAATGAAATTTAATCACTTCGCCAAGTATATATTAGTGTTCAGAGATCGTTTTTGTTTAGAAAATGAAGCATTGTTTTATTTCATTTATTTGCAGTGGTGGATGGCTGTGGAGACAGGCGTTTTTGTACTATGTCTTTTCTAATGTTTTTTAAACCATTTTTTTGATTTTTGTCTTTGTTTAATTCCTACGTTACACTTTTACGGTCTTTCTCGTGATGAAAAACACAAAAAAAAAGTAAAACATAAATAAAAACAAACAAAAACAATAGGTGGCCAACTTAGGACCACTGTAGATTTTTACAAGTTTCAAATTATTACGCTAATAAAAAAAATTGAATTAAAAAATCAACAGAACCTCTTATTACAACATTAAATAAAGGAACTAGCGCACACACTCATTTATAAATTTTTAATTATTTATCTCTTGTAGCTGCTCTCGAAAAAACAAGAAAAATCAAATTTTTTTGGTCAAAAACAAATATTATTGTCCTCACAATGCGTAGAAGAATCTTAGATTATAATTAGGTCCATAAATTATATCATGGTTTATCAATATATCATACCACAAAATTATAAATTCGTCCAGTATACCATCTCTGAGAAATGCAGGGTGGCCAACTTAGGCCCACGGCCAACTTAGGACCACGCTCCCCTATATAATATTTGCTTTTGAAGAAGTGGGTATTGACTTAGAAGTTGAGGAAGTTCACTGGGTTGTTTATAATCGTTATACAATGCCTGCCAACATTGAATAAGAGTACGCACAGTGGATGGTATTCTAACTTCATTTTAAACAAACAGAACTGAGTTCAAGCTGAACATTAAAGGAAACTTCAAGTTTTGCCATGGACACACAGCTTTTGATGCAATTTCCTTTCATCTTCTCTCATTCAATATAAAGGAAGCCACAAGAATAGAAATTCAAGAAAGCAAAAGTAAAAAAGTAGAATATTTTATTAACGAAACATCCACCTTATTATTCTTAGAATATTCAACCATACTATGAATTGATAATTAAAAATTTATCATTCCAAGCAAAAAAAAAAAAAAAAAGAAATAAGAATTGTCTCAACTAATTAAATAATTAACGAAAGAAATGTAAATAAAAATTTATCATTTATTTTAGTATACCATTAATTTCCGTATTATTATTATTACTATTATGTTTTTTCATTATTTTTATTATTTCTATTACTACTATTATTATTAATTATCATATATGTGTAATTATTATTATTTGCTTTTTGCTATAAACCGTAATATATATATCTGTAAATTCAGATAGCTGGATTAAATTCATGGTTATTGTTGATAATTATTATTATCAGTTTGCATACTAATTATTATATCCTAAAAAAAATAAACAAAAAATAAAAAAGTCACAAAAATTAATCATGAACAGTACTAACAACATTGACACAAATAAAAAATACATCAAAAAATTGTTTTGATAAATTCAATATCTAATTATTTAATTTTTCTTTAATCAAAATTTGTCATACAATAATTTCGCGACATTATAAAAAAGAAATAATTACAAAAATAGCTAAATATAAAATTAAAGTTTTTAACTTTAAATATTATCTATAATTTATTAAAATATTTTAAATAAAAAAAAATTTTTTTGAAATTTTATAATTATTAATAATTATAAATTTTTTAATCTTCTATATTAACAATTTATTTATTTATTTAATGTATATACGG